CGTCATGAATGGGACGACCAGTTTCATGAAAGGCATTTACGATACGGCTATGATATTTGCCGATTATTATTATGTCAAATCTTTTCAGTATTATTTGGATAATTAATTGTATAAATGTGATGTAACATATTAACTTAATGATAAAATAAATAAAATCTTTAATAACGTCAGTAAACAACTAGTTTTATTTTACATTTTACTATTTTTAAATAATATATATGACATGACAGTTTTTTTGTCAAATCATTGTTTAGTCTGAAAAATTATGTTCCTGTTATTTTTAATTTATATATAATAAATACTTACAGTACAATTAATAAGTGAATAATTAATATTTTTTTAAAATTCTAATAAAATAACTAGTACAGGCTTATAACATTATAATTGACTCATGCTACAAAATAAACAGTTAGTAAAAATTGTATATTTAGTATTATATTACAAAAAATAATTTAGCTATTTCATATTATTTCTTTAGTGAATGAAAGTTTAACATAAAGTCTTTGTTTATTTAAAAGGCTATTATTTTAGAGGTACATAGAAATAGATACAGTATATTAGAAATGTTTGGACAAATATATAGCAATACTATTAGCTGGTTAATCACAATTTTATTTGGGTTCATTATTGCAAATTTTGTCAAATTTTATAGACATGTGTCTCAATTACCTCGGGGTCCTTTTCCACTGCCAATATTAGGCAATGTGTTGAGTGAGTCAAATGAATACATTTATTTAACATAATTTAATAATACAATTTTATAGTCTTTAAGATCACAAAAGTCAATCAATTCATTACAATCAATGATTTACACAAAACCTATGGACCGGTATATACACTTTGGATGGGAACGACACCAATGGTTATCATCGCTGACTATAATTTAGTTAAAAAGGCATTCAATTCAAAGAATAATGAATTAATGGGTCGTCCGGTGAGTGGATTAAGAAAATTGTTATTTAAATGTGGAAATGACGTGATTTGTGCCAATCATGGCCCAGTTTGGGCCAGCCTTAGACGGGTTGCCCACTCGGCGGTCAGGTATTTACGAAATGCTAATTATTTGCATTAATTCTGTTGTAAAAATCATATAATGGTTTAAAACTTAGAAAACTAACGGTAAGTGAAGAGTTGTCTGAATTGGTGGACGATGTGGTCAATGAAACCGTTGAGACAATGATTAGTAATGAAAGCATCGGTAAACCATTTAATCCCAAGACTTATATCTATATGTCTGTCCTCAACATATTCGCGTCGTCGGCTTTTGGCAAACGGTTTGACGTTTAAAATAAATTTAGTAATAAATAAAAATTACACACAAATTAATACCTTTATAATAAATAGCTATTCCTTTGATGACAAAGAGCTCAAGTTTTATGAGAAAAGTTTTCAGTCGTTTAGAGCCAACACTAATGAGAAGGCGCTCTCCAATTACATACCATTCCTCAAGAGATTCTATTCAAAAAGTGTTAACAAAACTGTCGAAAGTTTTACAAATTTATCGATTAATTTAAAACAGAAATATTTGGATCGACTGAAAGTGCACTCAAAGGGAGAGATCCATGACTTCTGCGATGCGCTCATTGAAGCCAAAGAGGAGGCCATCGCTGACGAGGAGTCCGCTCTTCATCTCAACGATCAGAACCTATCGCTAGTTATTATGGATCTCTTCATAGGTTTTGTACAAAATTTAATAATTTTTTATTTATTAACTAAAAATAAATAAAATATGAATATATGCATAGCGGGTGCGGACACAACAGAGATAACGATGCGATGGATTATACTATTGATGGCAAACAATATAGAAATGCAGTTAAGAATGAGACACGAAATCAATGATATTATCGGCGATAGAGTGGCAGACAATCGCCACAAGAATGACTGCCATTATGTCAACGCTTTCATCGCTGAGACTCTTAGATACAGAAGTCCTGCACCGTTAGGTTTGGCACATGTGGCACTTTGTGACTATCAATTGGGTAATGATTTGAAAAAACAATTATAATTAAATTTGTTAAACGATCGGTTTATATATTAGAGAAATATCACATCAGTAAGGGATCACAGGTTTTCAGTAATCTGTACGCAATATCCCGTGACCCCAACCTATGGCCCAAACCGGATGTCTTCTCCCCCAACAGGTTCTTAGATAAGGACAACAAATACATGTCAGCCCTCCCGGGGTTCACACCCTTTGGAATCGGACGGCGTATATGTTTGGGTGAAAGGCTGGCGCTCGCGGACCTCTTCTACATAACTGTCCGCCTATTGAAGTCCACTAAAGACTATGTGTTTGCGTTGCCATCGGGTGGGGGTACGGCTGATTTGGATCTGGACCCAAGTATATTATTTTTCGGGGCTCCCAAGAGTTACGAAATATTTCTTGTAAAGAATTAATTAAAAGTTAATATTTAGCATATTATTAATACCATTGCATTCTTGGTTTATTAAAATTGGGAATTTTATATCATTTTACAATTATCATTGATTATCGCACTACTATAGTAGCATTGTTTTTAAAATTGTTTTACATTAATTTACATAACCTTTTATATTTATATGTTCATACACATTGAACATTAAACTGACAATGCAAGAACGGGAAGTGATCACGCTAATTGCAATTAAAACCGAGTGAATTATATGCTAAATATTAACTTTTAATTAATTCTTTACAAGAAATATTTCGTAACTCT